GCGCCAGCCGCCCGGGGGTGTCGGGAGGGGGGGGGGGGGGTGGGTTGGGGGGGGGGGGGAGGGGGGAGGGTGTCAGAAATTTTCACCTGGCCACTGCACAAAGACCTATGTACGCCAAGGCACTCCGGGTTCCAAACCTGCACAGCAGACAGTAATAAACTACATGCAGAGGCTCAACCTCAGAAATGGCATAATGCAAAATGGAGAGTTGGTGCTAAACCCGCGTATTTGCGTGTACTGGAAAGTTCCCCTCCTGCAGCCCCCCAGAAAGGTATTTCCCTCTCTGGAGCAAAGGCTTTTTTTAACCATGTGTTTTAGCGTCAAATACAGAAAATTCCCCTCTGGCCTTTCAGGGACATCATCAGTTTGCAAGAAATACTACAGCCAAAAGGCAATAGTTTATAGGGTGTCATTTTTAACTTACTCTTTCAGAATCATGTTTTCACATATCTTGAAAGCCTGTTTATAGGGACAGGCATACTGGTTCTCCCTCTTCTGTTAATGGCACTGGTATTTTAGACCAGGAAAACATCCCCAAGGACGACATTTACTACAGTAGCCTGTCAGAGTACGATCACTTGCCTTGTTATTGTTTTGCTGGTGTAGGGGTTTTTTTCCAAATATGAGGCTCCAAATACACTTCAGCCATTAACCATATTTACCACCTTGTGATGTGTAAATATGTTTCCCCTTAGCCATATTTTGTGTATTAGTCTGACTCTTCCTGTCAAGATGTTCACCAAATATGGTGCTTCATTAATTTCTGAGCACCTTGCCTCCAAACGACATGTTCATCAGGAAGGCGCTCGAGTTCCCCAGCAGATTCTGTTTTCGCCTTCTGAGGATGCAGCTCTGAGGCCAAATAATTCACAAACAAACAGCTAAAGCAGAAGAAAGGGAGACCGTCACGCACGCAGATTTTGTGACGACATGCCTAAACTCTCCTGAACTGCTTTCACCAAAACAAAAACCCAGCACTGGGGTATCTCATGGCAGTGTTTGATCTGCAGCAGGAGAGCACCATGGCCCTGGTGAAGAACAGATGGGTGGACAGAGTCCGCAAAGGCATGAGAGAGAACCACAGGCAGACTCCTCCTGGGGAAGGAGAAATATCAAGTGTATTTTTAATACTCAGCCTTAAAACTGCACTGTTGGAAGACTGTTTGAACACTACTCTCCCCAGGAAACGTGGGCGGGAGTGTAGGCTCTCATTAAGAACAAATCTTCTCCTCATCCCTAAATATAAGTGTGATCCAGATGGAACAAAATAAACGGTAGAAGTTAAGCCACTCTCGGCTGAGAGGAGGCATTTACCGTCGCACAGAATTCAGCCTGCAAATCATTTCCTGTAGTGTCTTTTTCTAGTCACCTGTGGTTTTATAATGCAGTTAAACCACACTTCACATCTGCTACAGGCCAGGAAACAAGTACTGCAAAATCTGACTTCCAGTCACAGCAGCTGAGCCTTCTTGTTAAGTACACAGCCACGAGATATATTGTGCTGCTCTGGCTAAAAATCCAAAGCCTGCTTGGCCAAGGCATTGAGAGATCAGATGCGTTGGGAAAAAAAAGAAAGGAATAATGTTTTAAGGTCAGACTGGTTTCGACACACATCAGAAAGTTGTCAGCAATTACCAAACCCACGGAGAGAAAAGAAACATTTTCTATCTGATCCACCAAGAAACAGTGCAAGTCACCAGTCTTCACACACCAAGTGGTGTCTCTGTATCCAGAACGCTGCTATATATAAACAGCATCATCATAAACAACATATGAACACAGCAATTAGTCATCCTGCCTGTACATTAAATGTCGATTTGGATTACCTGTTCAAAACTGAAGGAGAATATATTAAGCTTATAAGCTTTTTGCTGAAAAAGTGTTCAAGAGCTATCTTCCATTATTTATCTTCAAAAACAATCTTTCAGGTCAAATTTAAAACATATAAAGAGGTACCAACAAGGTAAGCAAGGTTTAACTATTGTCTGTGTGAAGGCTTTTTCCACGAGCGTCAGTGAGCGCTGGATGGCTGAGAGTCCTTCCGTACTCTCTATTTTAAAGTTAGCATCTTCTTGGAACGAAGACAAGGACAGGATCTCTGGGAAGCCAGTGTGAACACTGGCACCACACCAAGATACCAGATGCCTTTTTTTCCCCCCCCTATACACAGAGTGACCCCCTAGGATAGAATGGGCTGTTGTTGCTCGGGAGGAAGCAAAGCGTGTTTGCCACAAACAAGATTAAAAGAACAAAAAGTGCAACACGCTCTCTTGCTGCATTACCAGGCAGCGCTATTGCAGAGTGAAAGTAAGGAGTAGCCACTTGGAGAGGTTATTTTATTTTTTCCCTGTCTTTGGAGGATTTACACACCTTTTGTTACGACTTCTCCATGTCACAGGAACCACCACTGACTACTCTAATTCTTACAAAGAACTACCAGAAATATATGGAAAATACAAAGATGTTATAATAAATGACCCCAAGCCTGAAAGCACTGCACATTAAATATTAGTTTACATAAAATGGGCAAGATTTAGAATCCAGGTGTTTGAATCACTCCAGGGTTCTCAGGACGAAAAAACAATTAGAGGAAAGCCTTGCTGTCCGTCTCTGCCTTGATCTGCTTTACATGACAGGTAGATACAGTGCTGTCAGCTCCTGATGTCCTCGGGGCCCCAACAGGCCGTTACCGCTTTGTGAAGATAAAGCAGAGCATCCTCCCTGAGACACACAATGGTGCTGCTCGTTGCAAATGTCAACACTCCATATTCAGGACAATTTCTGGTGGCCTGGACTACAGAAACAATGAAAAAGGACACCATGGCAAAGGAAAAGCCTCCACTTGGCGATATTCAGGCAGAGCACAGCTAATAAAGAATGCTGCAGCTCTGAACCCAAGGGACCCAGTGTCCAAACGAGGCCTGCACAACAAGAAAACTCTCCCAAAGACTGCAGTACAATACTTCTGCATCTAACTGAAAAGAGCGTTTCTGTTTAGGATGCTGACAGCTGACATTTAGTACTTCCGACACAATTCCCCACCTCTCCCCAGATGAGAATCACTTCAAATGCCAAGGCCTTGGAGACGCCTTTCGGAGGATTTCCAAACGGCCAGAACAAACACAACAGCACCATCCCTCAACGAAAACAAATCAAGCAACGCTCACAGAGCTCGCTCCACCACCACTGCTGATGCTCACAGCAGCCACTCCCCTGCCCCTCTGCCACGCCGTAAAGCTGAGACCCGGAGGATTAACCCCTATACCTGAGACAACTCTTGCACAAGAAGTCGAATGTCAAATTGCAAAGCAAGGCAGAACCTGAATTCAGGTTTCCACACCACAGTTTTTCACATCATCTTTAAGCCAGAACACCATCAGATCCTTTCTCATGACCTCGGCGTTATGGCATCCACTTCCCCAGACTGCATTTGGCTCTGATTAAACAGCAAATTAGAGCAACACTTGTACCAATTACTTCTCACTTGTACAAATGTGTAATTCTCTTAAGCAATGAGAAAATTATCCAGCAGACAGTATGAATATCCTCCACGAGATAAATGGAATGTGAAATGTAGATAAAGACTTTGTAGTTCTTTTCCTTGCTCGGCTGATAACAAATCGTCAGGACACATATAAAAGAAAAACAGAAAAGCGGGAAATAGTTCTGAATCAGCCACCACGGAAAACAAGAATCATCTCACCAAAGCTCCTGACCATCCACCACTCTCTTCAGGCGCATTGCATCATTCAGCCATTCAACAGTCACAAACGGTCAAGTGCTTCCGAAATCTCAAATTCTGACAGCTCTTAAGATTACATGTCTTTATGCCCCTGCCAAAGGACTGCAGAAACACCATGCTGTTTGGATACGTTCCCAGGAGAAGTCTCCTCCAGCAATTAAAAAAAATACGTATCTGTATCAGCAGTGTTAATGATTTTTCTGACCTGTACTACGGAGATTGAGAGTTAGACAGTGCCCAGCAAGCCGGTCCTCTGCACCCGTCCTCCACCCATGGGGAGCAGGGTGGACACATCCCCCTGTGGGTCTCAGTGTTTAAAACCTGCACCCTCCACGCCGGCAGAGGACAGGAGAGGGGCCTTGGCTCGGCAGTGACAGGGCTGCCCTGCCTGCCCGGGGACGAGGGGGTTTCACCAACCATCTCCGCAATAAATGCAGGTTTAGATCAAGGGTTCGATGGGACAGAGACAGTGTGGTGACCCCAACTCCCCCACATACCCAGCCCCAGCTCTCGCACGTGTTTAACCCCATGGGCACACATGGAGCAGCCCTCTGCATCACCAGGATATTACGGCTGACTGCTCCACAAACCACGGCCGCGACCGGATGCCCAAGACCTGGGCTGACAAGTCATCTGTCTGGACAAAGACATTTTCAATTTGCAGCACACTAATTTCATGTCCATCTCACAGCTAGCTTTCACTTTTGCCTCCAAAGAGAGGCTGTGCTGTATCATAATTCATTCCAGGCCACTAGCAGATGTCTGTAACTCCTGTACATTATCTTAGGAAAGCCTAATGCTCAATTTATTCAAAAGACAGGGGAGCAAATGAGTCACTTTACATACCTTGGCAGTCACATACAAGGCAATGGGTATGTCCAGGAGGAAATAACATCATGAACTGGCAAGAAATGGCTACATCTACCCGTTCAACAAGATCGGGTCAATGCGAAAACCTACTGCTTTGAAGATGAAACGGCAAGCATTCATCTCAAGTATTATTTCTGTACTAACGCATGGACACAAAAGTTGGAAACCCATCAAATCACAGACAAAACGCTTCCGCATGCAAACGTGTTACAGATGCCTCCTTAGCATTTCTCCAACAAACGCAGAGGTGGCTCAACTCCCTCTGCTCCTCTTCTGGATAATTCTCCGCAGGCACACAGAGCACTTTGCGCCGTGCTAGGAAGGCAGGCGAGTCGGGGAGATGCCAGGCTGCGGCTGGGGAGGGCGGGCGGGCGGGGGGGGGGGGGGGTTTCCCGGGGGGCAGCTGGGGACGCCGCCGCAGGGGGACCCTCGGGGACAAAGCACAGCGGGGATGCAGTACCAATGTTTGGCGTGAGCTTCCACGGCTCCTCCGCGACACACGGTGCCGGACTGACGACCTTCCCCGCATCACACACTAACGAGCACGGGATGACAATTTCTTTAGGAGGAGAACAGCATCCCTGGAGAGACGGGGATGCCAAGGCACGCTTTGCCCACTGCTGCACCGTGGCCTGGCAAGGGGCCCCCGGCCCAGGGTAAGGGTGCACGATGAGGCGTCCCCAGCACGGCAGTCCGGCCAGCC